GTAAGCATTGAGAGACAACCATTTCATACTAAGATTCTTTTGCCATATCAAGTACAATAACTTAGTAATGTAATTGCAAACCACATTTGTTTGAAGTAGAACAATATAAAAAAGTTGTCTTTGTCAAGAGTAACTAAGCTCAGAAGCCAAGAATCTAAACTGAGTATTTAACTTCCAAGCAATGATCCTGTTTCCATGATCATCCCCACGAGTATTCTGGATGTCAGAATAAATGATAAGTTCTCATCCCAGTACCCATAAAAAGTGCACAATTTCATTTTGATTTTGAGGATAAGGAATCTTCTTCACGAAAGATCTAACCAATACTACTGTGATAGAGATGCCATCATCCTAAAAACAGTATGGCCCACAGGATCTTCCATAATAAGAACCAACAACAGCCAAAACTACTTCGCGTCATACCCGAAGCACACGAAAGAGCTGAATTCCCAGTATGACCCAGTCCACAGACAGAAAACAGTCAGATTTAGATATCCGACCATGACTCAGCAATCACTAACTTAAGAATTGAAAGGTCACCAAACGACTCGTAGGTTCAACCCAGATCGTCGAATTCAGAGCAACGAACAACCGATCCAGACAGATCTAGCAAGTGACAGAGGTCAAACCTTAAACGTAACCTTCAACGGCTCGTCCACTGCAAAATCCCAACACCAAAAAACGTCAGCAAAGATCAGGAAAACAAAAACAAAACGGACGAGATCGGCGAAGCAAGAGGCGGACCTTCGTCCACGAGCGCGGAGAGCTGCATGATGGCGTCCTGGGAGGCGATCCCCATCGTCCGGGGGACGGATCGGGAGGGAGAAGACGTCCACCAACTCTAGGGTTAGGGTTAGAGATCTTTAATCGACGGAGTTGGTCGTCTTCTCTCGCTCTCGTCTTCGAACTCCGGTTTTTCTCCGTATATTTATAGACCGGTAAAGAAAGCGAATGAGTGTTTTAAATTGGAATATTGGGCTCAACCCAAAGAAATAAATATCTTATTATATTATTATTCCATTGGAAAGTGGTTGGGATGCAATTACAAATGGGGGATATTCTATTATTTTGAAAATTAACCCCATGATTTAGAGAGAAAGTCTCTGATGTGATGCATGGTTATTTATATATATTATATATTTGATACTTCCAATGATTCGAATGTAATAAGAATTGGGGCATATTCTATTATTTTGAATATTAGCCGCATGATTTAGAGAGAAAGACTCTGATGTGATGCACGATTATTTATATATATATATTATATTTGATATCCAACTCGAAAAGGATTGACAAAGAGAAGTCATAGTTTAAGTGTCATCAATTTTAATTAATCAACATGAAAAAATAATAATTAATTTAGTGATTACTTTGGCAAGATTTTTGGGTGATAGGTAATTAAACATCAAATTAATGTGAATTTTCTTCTCTTGTTAAAGAAGGAAAAAGTGTGGATGCATATTGAGATCAAACGACATGTGACGGCTTCACAATCTTCCAATTAGCATTGCTCATCATCTTTCATTTGATTTGTCAGTGGAATTCAAATCCAGGATCTCATGATAAACCATCAAGATTTTGATGAATTATAAAAAAGTGAAAATTTATTTAGAGAATGTAATATTGATTTTTTGAATTTTATTCGATGTATTTGGTTGTATTCATGTTTTGAAATAATATAATTTGTACATGGAAGAAAGAGAGAATTATATTTGATAGAGAGTGATGCTCATATATCTAAGTATTATCCTATGTGCTCAAATTAAGGGGACATGAATCAAGAGATGGTAACAAAAGTGATTGCATTTCTCAGCCATGTACAGTTTTGTGTGTAGTGCATGAACATGGAGCAATAAAAGGGAGAAGCACTATTTGTTTATCTTGTGGTGGCATTTGCATGTTCTTTTAGAGAGCATAAAGGAAAAAAGAAATGAATGATCTTTCATCCATGAAAACCTACAAGTAGACATCATTGAAATAATAATAATAATAATAATAATAATAATAATGTATTGAACTATTGTTTTTAGATTTTCTAGAGTGCTACTGGTTAATTTAATTATATGATTTACCCATAGGAATTACTAATTTTAATCTAAAAGTAATATTCGCATGAATGGTTGTTCGATGTATTTTCATTGGACTAAAAATCAAAGGTTGTCCATTGTATCATTCTCGAGCTAAGTGTGAGAGGTTGTTTGATGTATCATCATCGAGTTAAACATTAGAGATTATCCTGATACATTTTTGTTGGGTTGAACCTTGGTAGTCGCCTAATGCACCACTCATTAATGTATCCAGTAATCACTTATGTCGAGAGAATTTTTGAAATATATATTTTATGAGAAACAGATAATATGAGAAATATTCACTCCAATCATAACTTACCATATGATACAACTCTTGACAAGGGAAGAATAAACCTAGTCCATGATTAAGGGTTGTATTATATTCCTTCCATATCATAAAATATAAAAAATCTATCAAACTATTATTGAAAATTCCACTATGATCTCGATCTATGTCTAGATTGATATATGATCGTGTATTAGAGACTTTTTCGATTCTACCCTAATAGTTTAAACAAAGTCGAATTGATCAATATATCTTGAAGTCATAAATTTTTTCTTGAATAATACACAATCTCGATAAATCATGATTTTTTAACCCAAAATATAATTAATAATATTAAATTGAATTATCATACTCTCTCCCACGGCTCTATTCACACATAATTATTTCTACTTATATTATCACAACTATCTTATCTAAATTCTTATGTGAGACTAAATTAATAAATTAATTTCCTATAAGAAAAGAAAACGGGTTAATAACGATTTAGAGTGGCAATTACATACGTAATTCTTCCAAACAATATAAATGAAAATTTTTGTGAAACTGTTTGACCGTTGACATGGGAGGATTTCTATAAAAGACTTTGGCTCACATGATTATCACCACAAAATAATATATTTTGGAGTATATTATGGATTAATTATAGAATATCCTCTATGATTTAACCCAATTAGCATTGTGATCATTGTATTTAAAAAAATATTAAAATTTTTATAATTCTAAAAATAAAATAAATAATCTTATTTATCCTAACATCGTTAAGTATGTTGACTTTCTAATAATTTTATTGATAAAAAGATAATAAGATAATTTCAACATTCTACATGCTAAAAATAAAAAAATATATTAAAATTATATATTTACTTATCATTTTCATATTGATCCAACAAGTGGTGTCATGTATTATATTTTTCGTCAATTTATTTAATGATATTATGATAAATAAAATTATTTATTTTACTTTTAAAATTCTAAAAAAATATATAAATTTTTTAAATATAAAATTATGACACTAATAGGATATAAATATAATGAGTAATATATAATTAGCTGGTGTATTATCCATCCACGAGTGCATGGATCGAAAGCATGACGGACAAATGTGATGCTCGTTGGAGGCGGGCATCTAGAGAGAGAGAGAGAGAGAGAGAGAGAGAGAGAGAGAGAGCAGCTTCGCCCACTCTACAGAGCGCC